TGCAGCGTGGACACAGTGAGGAAGCAGGGCTGTGCTGTGGGGTGGCGGGGTGTCCTCCACCCGCTCCGACACTCACGGCTGAGGGGATGTCCTGCAATATCCCGGAGCAGAAACCATGAGTGGGTTCGGGGAAGGTACCTGAGCCCTCCTAAAAGTCACTGTACCCCGCACCTGAGCCCTTGCAACACTCGCTGCATCCCACGCCCTGGCAGCGCTCTGGCACTTCCCCTGCGTGCAAACCCTGTTCCAGCCCCCAGGAGCCAGCTGAGCTGCACCGTAATTCGGGCAGAGGCAAAGCCCAGATGTGAAGGCACAAGGACTGGCTGGGGGCCCGGCAGCCGGGAAAAAACATGCGAGTCTGGCTCGGGCTTGGGAGCGGGCTCGGGGAGCTCGCAGGGCGAATGCAAAAGCTGCTCCCTGGCCAACAGAGCTTTTGGGATGGGTCTGGAGGACGCAGGCATGGACCTGGAAGCAGAATGCCCACGGTCCCGTGCAAGCCTTGCGGCAGTCGAGAAAAAGCCTCATTTTCCCCGGCGGGGCGAGCCGGGAAACAGCTGCCGGCGGCGGCACCGGGAGCCGGGTCCCGTTCGGGCGGAGGGTCCGGGGCTGCCCCTCCCCGGCGGCACCGGGAGCCGGTCCCGTTCGGGCGGAGGGTCCGGGGCTGCCCCTCCCCGGCGGCACCGGGAGCGGGTCCCGTTCGGGCGGAGGGTCCGGGGCTGCCCCTCCCCGGCGGCACCGGGAGCGGGTCCCGTTCGGGCGGAGGGTCCGGGGCTGCCCCTCCCCGGCGGCACCGGGAGCGGGTCCCGTTCGGGCGGAGGGTCCGGGGCCGCCCCTCCCCGGTGGCCCCGCGGCTGGGGGGGCGCAGCTGGAGCCCTCGCAGGGCCCTGCCGCTTTAACCTGCCTCTCTCTCCCACGTGCTGTCTGGTTGTGCTGGAGACGGTGACGCAGGCAGGACGTCAATGGACGCTGTGGGAGAATTTAGACTTGGAGAGGAAGGGGGGCAGGGAGGAAGGCAGCGCTTGTAGGGGTGGGGGCCGCTGGGGGTGCATGGCCAGGGCAGGGGGGACCCCGCTCGCAGCCCGGGAGCATCACTGCCAGCTCCGGCCACATCGCCCCGGCATGTGCTGGCACCCCGGGCAGCTGCCAGGGCAAATAATCCTCCTGCCCTGCCCATGTGAAGGCCACGCTTCCTCCCTGCCACCCCCCCGCATTGTCACCACACGTGTGCCACTCTTGTCCCCGCCAGTCAGTCAGCCCAGCACAGGCAGGAGGTCACGGGTGGGCCAAGAACGTGGCTGGCACAGACCCCGGTGGTCACCGGGGTTGTCCCCCGGCTGGGGAGTGGGAATGACCCCCTGAACGCCTCTCCGTGCCCAGCTCTGCTCCTCTCCCCGTCCCGAGGGCATCACCCCCACCCCGAACCAGGGTCCAGCCGATGTGGCATGGCAGGACCCCCATCCCCCTCCCTCTTGCAGGGCTTCCAAAGCTCTTTCAGAGCTTTCAGAGCTTTCAGAGCTTTCAGACCTTTCAGCTCTACATACCAAGGGCACCGGCAGTGCCAGGACAAGCTGGAGCAGCACTTCCACGCCAGGGAGGGATGAGATGAGCCATGAACTGTGATTCCTCCCTGCATCCAACCTCTAGGAGCTAAACTGGTCTCCCCAAAACTCACATGGAACTCTGCTCCCACTCGGTTCAGAAGGAGGAACACTGGCAGAGAGACAAAAAGTCGTGGCAGGGAGGCTGGAGATGCTGCTCTGCAGTAGGAGACTGCTCTCGGGCTCTTGGCTTTACCCCCAGCCCTCACCCCGCTCCCCTCCCTGAGCTCTGTTCAGGAGAGGGACAAATGTCTTTCCCACTTTAGGTTTTTGGGTGCCTTTTTTTTTTTTTTTTTAGCAGCCTGAGGGTGTAGGTGGCTGCATATCTTGGAGGACCCAGGAGTCCTGCCCCCTTCCTGCTGGCATAGGGCAAGGGAAAGCAGTTTCCACTGTCAAGAGGCTGCGCACCAGCTGTACAAAGCAGCAGCCTGGTGTGGGAAGGGAGTTACTCAGCATTTGGTTCCCAAGAGACAAAAAAAAAAAAAAAAAAAAAAAAAAGGCAAAAAAAAAAAAGGCACTTCAAACTGACTTTCCAAAATACTTTGAGGTTCATAGTAATGTTCTCGTCTTTGTCTCATAAATATCCTGGGTTGGATCCTTCCCTCGTTTTCATCCTGTAACTCAGAGAGCAGCACCAGAGCGCGGCTGTTGCATGTTATTCTGACTATTTTTATTTTTTATATCTTTGGATACATGAGCTCAGTTGATTGGAAAACAAACCCCAGAGAATCCTTGAGGAGAGACTGCAAACAGCTCTTGGTGAGATGACTAATCCCATCTCTATCTAAACCAACAGCATCCTAAAAATAGCCTTATTTCTAACAATAAATATAATAAAATAACTAACTGACAACAAACAGCCCCAAAAAGCCAAACACGCTGAAAAGTCCACTAGAAATACATATTGGGACGGAGGAAGGAGCCAGCAGGAAACTGTGTCACTGAGTCAGAGGGGTGGCCATGCCACCAGCGATGCTTGGTCAGATCCGGCCTCTCTGTTGAGACCATCATTGCCCCTCGCCCTTGTGCCTGTGCTTTCTTTGTCCCAGATCAGCGTGAGGAAGGCCCACGGGCACCAGACCCAGGGGAAGCTGGTCCCAGAGTCACCATCCCGGCCTCCAGCACCCACTGAAAGCCCTGAGTGGGATCCCTCACCCCAGCTCAGGGTGCAGGTCCATCACCCCCAGGGCTGCTCCGTGCCCACCAGCTTCCCCGGGCCCTGAGCTCACCACACACCTTGGATCATTTGGATAATTTGCCACCTACTTTCCACACACCAGGAGCCTCCCACACCCAGCGTGTTGCAAAACAACCCCCTCAGCTGAGTCACTGGCACTGGGGAGCTTCTCCCTGCCCTCCTGGCCTGGGAAGGGGCTGGGGCAGAGCTGGCCATGACGATCAGCTGTGATGGGAGCACAGCCCAGCCCAGGTCACCCTTTGGGGAGGAAATTGGGTGTTTTGGGCTTGTGCAGTGCCCTGTGTTGTGGAGGCCAGTGCACAGGGACCATGTGCTGCTGCACTGATGGCTGTGGGCATCATCTGGGTGAAAACACAACTCTGCCCCCATGCCTGGCAGCTCCCTGGGCTGGTTTTGTCCTCCAGTGACACTGGGAGCACTCATATACTCAGCGCTCCAGCTGAATGTGACCCAACAGGGCTGGGACATCCCTGTCACTGCCCCCTAGCCCCCCTTGAGCTGGGACAGTGGCTTTGTCCATGACAGAGCCATCACTCAGTATTTTTATGGAGCACTGGAGTTGCACCAGCCTCGTGCTGGCCCCGTGTCACCAGTATGGAAGGTGGGCTGCATTCTGCTGGTCAGGGGAACCCATGAAACATTTACCATGGAGGCTCTGACCCCTGGCACCAGTCTTTTTCTGCCAGAAGCAGTCCCACACCAGCCTGATTTTTATTTTTACCGCTTTGTGTGGCACGTGGGAGCCTGCCCAGGCTTGCCATGCCACATCCATCCCTGGGAAAGGACAGCCTGTGCCCCATGCTGACCCCCAGCCCTGCCATATGGCACTGCTCCAGCATTCCCAGTGCTGGGAGAACTCATCCAGTGGAATCAGCAGCTCCCACCAGCACAGACCTCGGGTGTAGGTGGGTGGTCTGCATCCCCCCAGCCCCAAGGATGTTTGCATCCACCACCGACACTGCTCTGAGGCTGTGCATAAGCAGCACTGGACATGGTGGTGAGACAGGAACAGAACTAGTTACCCAAGCCCCTAAAATCCAGATTCCTGCTCAAATCCACAGCCCCAAACTGTCCTGGCACAGAGAGGGGAGTCTCTGTTTGACCTGTTGGGTTTCCTGCAGGTAGCACAGAGCGATTTATCTGGGTGGCAGCTACTTTAGGTGGGAGTGGAAAGGAGAATTCATGAGGCCCATCCAGAGGTCTGTGACCTTTAGGAGCTGGGAATGTAGAGGGCTTGGCGCAGGGTCTGGATGCTGTGGCCCTGCTACCTCTCTGATGTCACCTGTGTGGCTTCAGGGACGCCTGGACCCCCCTGATGCCACCTGTGTGGCTTCAGGGACACCTGGACCCCCCTGATGTCACCTGTGTGGCTTCAGGGACGCCTGGACCCCCCTGATGTCACCTGTGTGGCTTCAGGGACACCTGGACCCCCCTGATGTCACCTGCGTGGCTTCAGGGACACCTGGACCCCGCTGATGTCACCTGTGTGGCTTCAGGGACACCTGGACCCCGCTGATGTCACCTGTGTGGCTTCAGGGACACCTGGACCCCGCTGATGTCACCTGCGTGGCTTCAGGGACACCTGGACCCCCCTGATGTCACCTGTGTGGCTTCAGGGACACCTGGACCCCCCTGATGTCACCTGTGTGGCTTTAGGGACACCTGGACCCCCTGATGTCACCTGTGTGGCTTCAGGGACACCCGGCCCCCGCTGACCCGCTGTCCTGAGCCCAACCCCTCACGAAGCCGGGGCAGAACCCACCACGGCCGGGCCGGACCCTCCAGCCCAGGCTGGGGAACCCGAGCGGGGCCGGGCCAGCGGCTGAGGGTGGCGGAGGGCAGCTCCGGGCCCAGCACTCCCCGCCGCCGGCCGCCACTGCCCCTGCCCGGCTCAGCGCACCACCGGGCCCGGCTCGGCCCCGGCCCGGCCCCGGCCCGGCCCCGCTAGGCCCCGGTTCCCCCAGGCTCAGCCCCTCGGCCCCGGTCCCACCCCGGGCCCCGGCCCCGCTCGCTCCCCCCCGCCGCGGCCATTGGCCGCCCGCGCCGCCGCCGCCGCCCCTGACGCTGGGCCGGGCCCGGCCATGGTCGCTCCCCGCCGGCTCCGCCGCAGCCCCGGCAGCGGCCGGTCCGCGCCCCGCTCAGGTGGGTCCCTCCCGCTCTCGCGCTTCTTCGCGTTCGGCTTTTTTTTTTTTTTTCTTTCCTCTCCTTCTAATTGTTATTTGTAATTATTTTTGATTTCTTTTAACGTTTCGCGATTCTAGCGCTTACTTCCGAGAACGACACCCTTCCCCCCCCCCACTTCTCCTTCCCCGGGAGGCCTCGGCGGGGCCCGGCGGTGTTCGGGGTGCGGGGAGTGCAGGGACCCCCCCCGACCCCCGCGCCGCACGGAGCCGCCCCGAGGCGCGGGGATGGGCGGGGGCGGGAGCAGCGGCGGCGGCGGCGGCGGCGGCGGCAGCGGCACATCCTTCCCCCGCGCCCCCCTCCTCCCTCCTCCCCCTTCGGCTTCAAAACAAACCGTCACCAAAATGGTGCAGAGGTGAAGGAGGGAGCGGGAGGAAGGGGAAGAGGTGGCGGCTCGGCCCGGGCGCTGCGGGGACAGGTGAGGGCGGCACGGGACGCGCAGAGACGCGGGACACCGGCGGTGCGGGACGCGGCGGGATGCGGGTGCCCGGTGCGGCACACGGGGACGGTCCCGCGGGGTGCTGCCGGTGGGGTGGGGGCGGCACTGGGGGTACCCACCCCGCTCCGGGGCGGTGGGCAGTGTCCCCGTGGGACCCCCGTGGGGACAGACCGTGAGCCCACCCGCGACACTGCGTCCACCCACGAACGGGACCCGCTGCGGCCTGGCGGGACGCGGGGAGAAGCGGGGCCCGCTGGATTTCGGGGGTGCCCTCCTTGGTATGACATGGGGACTGTTGGGGACCCGCCGGCGAGGCTCCGGGTGCCGGTGGGGGCTGCGGTTTGATTGGCAAGAGCAGATTTTGGGAGAGCCGGCGGTAAATGAGTGCTGGAGCGCCCATGGCTTGGCCGTGCGCCGGCTCCGGAGCCGACAGCTGGGATTGTTTGTCCGGGGGGGCTCAGCGCCTCGCTCCATCCGGCAGAGCCGGAGCACGGTGTCCTGGTGGGACCGGACCGCGTCCCCGGGGTGCCGAGCGCTGCCTCGGCCGGAGGGACCGGCGATGCTGAGCGGGGATGCGGTGACAGGGCGTCCGGCATCTGCGGCTGTTCGGCATCTGTGACGCCCGCTCGACCGCAGCTTATCCCTTGCCTGCAGCTCCCGAGCCCCTTTGGCTTTGTCATTGGTTTTATTCTTTTATTTATTTTCCTTTTCCCCCCCGACGCACAAGAGCTGCACACGGTCAGTTGTGCCACACACGCAGCTCTTACCCCCGCACCCGTGGAGCCCCATGGTACCCCCAGCTCTGCACGGCCACCAGCTGGGCTGTCCCCTCCTCCTAATCCTCCACAAGTGTCGGAGCTGCCACGCGGTTTTGGCTAGTGACTCCCCCTTGCTGTGGCCAGGGGTCTGGGCAGGGACAGGGACACCTGTGCTGCTGCAAATTCCCCCGGCACTTCAGCTCAGCACCTCTGAGCCCCCACCCGGGGACGGCCCGATCCTGTCCCTCCAGAGCCCCTTCGGCCGTGTATGGATTTTTGGGCTGGCGCGGCTTCTCCGAGGTGGATGTTCTCAAACAGGACAGCCAGCCTGGAATCTTGCTGCTGAGGAAGAAGGGGCTGTGCTGGCCTCAGTGACACAGGGACGCTCACCAGGCCAGGGGTGCAGATTTTGGCTGTAGGTAAGGGTTTATTCTCGTTTTGTTCTTTCCTTCCCTGAGCTGATTTGGTGCTGGTGGCCCTGGTATGGGAGCACTGAGCTGCCTCTGGCTCTTTGGAGCTCCAAAGCAAGCTGCTCTGCCTGCCCTCAGGATCACCGCCATGGGCTCCTGAAGGTCACAGACCTGTGGATGGGCCTCACGGATTCTCCTTTGCACTCCCACCACCTTGCCCTTCAGCCCCTGCAGTTGTCGCGGCTTTGCCGAGCTGAGGCATCTGCACTTGTGCCGGCTCCGAGCAGGTGGCCGATGTCCCCACGGTGGCGGTGGGGGCCACTGCTCCCGTTTCGGGTTTCGCCGGTGCCTCTGCCACAGCAGGGATTTATTTGACGTGCTCGTGTTGAAGGGGCATCAGCTCCTGTGTCAGGTGGCTCAGGGCTTCCACTCCTGCCCAGGCTCTCCCGGAGCACAAACCAGCTCGGGGGCTCCTCATGCTGAGTGGTCACGTCCCTGTGTGTGCTCAGTCCTGCTGGGGGGCTCTTGGGACCTTGAGAAGTGCTGGCTTTGTCAATAGGTGACCTTGGGCACGTCCCGTTGCTTCCCCACGCTTTGGTGGTGTTCTCGGAATGGGGGAGGTGGTTAATGTGTTTAATTCCCCCCTCCTCACTGGTACGGGGCTCCTGGCTCCTCTTGGGAAGTGCAGCTGCGGAGCTGGAAAGGGCTGTTGCTATTTTGTGCTGTCCCCGAGCGGGCAGGGCGGAGGCATGGACGGTGCTGGAGTCACCCAGGGTGGATTTTTCCCAGGCTGCCAAGTGAAACAAGTGGGGTCTGAGTCTCATTTAATGCTGCAGCCCTTTACTGTGACTCTGGCAACATAAAGGAGCCTAAATATGGTCATAAACTGCATCCACTTCAAGGTCCCTTCGTGCTGCCAGGGCAGCCTCACGGCGGCTTTGTGAGAGGGAGAACAAAGCCGAAAGTGTCGGACTAAAAGTACGGGAGCGGGACCCAGCTGCCACGGTGCTGGCGCGTGCCGGGAGCTGGTGGTGGCACTGCCCGGCAGGGAGGTGTCAGTGCTGGTGCAGGCCCTGGCTCACAAAGGCAGGATAGGATGGATGTGAGGGTGGGGGGAGATGCTGCTTGGCACATCCTGAAGGAGCAGGAGGGCTTCAGCTAGGTGTGGAGGGCTCAGCTACAAGCTATGCGTCTAACACCCTGGGCGAGTAATTTGAACCTAAAAAGTCTGTGGTGAGGGGCTGAAATTGCTTTTCCCTCTGTTTTGCCAAGCCAGAGTGCTTGCCAGGGTCAGGTTGGCATCGCCTGGAGCGTGCTGGGAGGAACCCGCCGTGGGATGCTGCGTGGCATCTCTCCTGTGTGACGGATTGCAGGGACGTGGCCTTTTTGGGAGTGAAGGGGAAAGAGGGAGCGGGCTGTGGGTTGCTGGCATTGATTCCGCTCCCCCGGCCCACCACTGCCCCACTGGGTGCCCCCGGCAGTGGTGCTGAGATGCCATGGGGAGCTGTGATGGTGTGAGAGGCCCTGGAAGGTGGTGCCTGAGGCTCGGGAAGTGAGCAGGCAGCATCCCATTAAATCCTGTTAATAGCCGGGAGTGCACATGGAGGTGACCCAAGCCACGGTGAGCTGCGATGGGGCTGCCGTGTCGATGCTGTGCTGGACTTCCCCATCTGCAACCAGAGCTAAAAATATCCCCCTGCCTCGGCCCGCCGCCGTCCCATCTGTTCGGAGGGTGAACTCCTCGGGCCAGGGGCTCTTTCTTATTTTTATCGCTAGTTTGGCAGTTCCTGGAGGCTGAGCTGTCCCGGGTTCAGAGGTGACTCTATTGTAGATGACAGTCCTGCTCCCGGGAAGGTTTGGCTCTGCTGCTGAGAGCAAGTGAAGAGGAGGAAGGGGACGAGGAGGAAGGATGGGGAAGCGTGGAAATGTGTGGCTGTGTTAGTGCCATGGGGTGAGCACTGGGTGCCCTTGGCTGTGCTTGCCCTCTCGTCGTGCCAGCAGGACTGTGGGGTGCATCACCCCCTCACCTCCCTCCAACACTGGGACTTCACCACTCGATGTGACTCTCAGGGGTTTGCTTTTATTTTTTCCTTTCCTTTTTCCCTCTAATTAGATAAGCTTTCAATAAAAAGCTGAGATTTGTTAATCACTTTGTTTGATCAGAGCTCAGGCAGTGCTGAAGACCTCTAGGTTTTTCCCTCTGCCTGTGTGAGCAGCAGTTTGCTTTTGCTTTCAAGATGGATCTCGCCGTCTGCCTGCCAGCAGCTCTGCCTCCCCGGATCTGTCGGTTTGCATCTTGCACTCCACTTTGCTTTGCTTGTGGTTCTTCTTTAATTTTTCCTTTCCCCTCACTCTTGGTGTCTCCCTGCTGTAGCTTCCCACTGCTTGCAAAACAGACAAGAGCCTGCATCCTTTAAAAAAATCCTAAAAAAAGTGCCCATGTGGAGAGCAAAGGTTTGATAAATACTCCAATTTAGAGTGATTTGTTTTGGGGGGGTGGGGTCTAGGTTTGCTTTCTCTTAAATGGGGGCGCAAAAGGTGGGGACTTGGGCCTCTGAGCTGCATGGGAACAGTTTTTTGGGGAGACTTGGCCTGTTTTTGTGTGGGTCACGACAAGGCTGGAGGGACACAGCAGCTGCTCCATGATTCCCAGGCTATAGGTGAGCATCTTCCCCTATATAAGAGGGAACAATGAGATGAGGTGTGTGCAGTGGTGATGGGTCCTTGCTGCCACCATCCCTGTCACCCGGAGGGCTCCGGTCGTGGCGAGATGTGCTGGTTGTGGTGGACTGCTGGAATGCTGGAACAGCTGCTGGGGGCTGTTCTCAGTGCTGGGTGCTGCCATGCTGCCCAGTGGGACTTTAAATAGCCTGGTGTCCTGGTGCCTGCCCAGTGTCCCGGTGTCCCAGTGCCGGCCCAGTGTCCCAGTGCATGTGGTGAGCATGAGCAGGGTGGTGCCTTTCCTGGGATGTTTCAGGCTCTGGCTGCCCCCCAGGAGCCACCGTGGTGTCCCATGCCGAGGCAGCCGGACTGGACCGTGCCAGGCTGAGCAGGACACGTAGGATTTCCCAGATTGCAATCAGCCCTCGCTTTTCCCGGAGGCAGCGCATGGCCCTGCTCGTGGTGCACGTGGAGGGGGTCAGCAGCACCCCTGGTCCGAGTCTCCTCGCTGTGAGTGCCCAGCACGAGCTGGACTGCAGAGGAAGGCAGCTGAGCCCCCCCTGCCATCTGTGCTGGCTGTGCCCCGCCAGCCCAGTGCTGCTGGCACGATGGCTCAAGGTCAAAGCCGTGCACAGCGGCTTTGGGCTGCTGCTGGCGCGGGGTGGAAGCACTCCCACCTCCTGTCCTGAGTCAGTGGTGGTTGGGGTTGGAAAGGGGGTAATTAAATGACCTATTTCTGGGCGGGGAGGAAGAGGAGGAGGAGGAATCGTTTCTCTTTCCAGAGCTTCAAACAGCTTTCTGCAAGCGTCCGGCACAAACCCCAAACCGCTTCCAGGAGGAGGTGGCTGCAGCCCCCCTGGCTGGGGTGCTTGGGGCACGGGTTGGGAGCTGGGGGCTGTGGGGAACGCTGACCTCCCACTGCAGCACTGCTGTTGCATCAGCCTTTTTTTTTTTTTTTGGAAGGAAGCAGGAGAAATCCATGGCTCCTAAATTATTTTTTTTTACCTTTTTTTTCCACCCTCAAAAAGTAGTAATGAGATTTGGGAAGTGACACCTGCCTGTGGGGCCAGGTCCTTGACCCAAGCGCAACCCAGGGCTGCCAAGGGATCATTTTAGGATTTCTAGTGGCATTCCTCCTTCTCCTCTCTCC